TTCGGCTGCCCCAGCCTTTCTTTGGCTCCGAGGGGCTGCCCCAGCTCTGCCCAAGCGTCAGTCCTGTGGCACAGAGACTGACAGGCAGCCAGTGGTACTGTCCCACCGCTGCTGCCTTCCCCAGTGAGACTGCGCTGGCACGTTGCCTGTCCAGGTGCCCCCGTCCCAGTGCCCGACTCTGACTTGCCAGGCTCCTCCTTGCTCCCCACACCCCTTTGCACCTAAATCTACTGCAAGAGTTTGCATTTGGACAAATGCCTGGGAAGCACTTGAATTGAGACCCTTGATAAAGTTCCTGGGCCGGCGGCAGGGGGAGGATGGCATTGATGGGCACAGCTCTGGATGCTCAATCAGCTTTCACTGGGTTCACGAGTCATTGGTGACTGTCACCATGACCCTCCGCGGCCGCCCGAGAGCGGAGCAGTCCCTGCTTCCATGTTGGCCTTGCCCCTCACTGTCCCCTCCCCCTCTCCTCCCTAGAGAAAGCTAATCCCTTACAGCTAGACAGCGTCCCAGGGAAAATGAGCAGAACCGAACACCTAGTAACAGGTAGGACAGATAGTTCCTAACCAATACCTGCTCGGTGGCCTTAAAGCCGACCCTCCACCTGCAGAACACCCCCCCTGTGCCTTTTCGTTCAAGGCTGCGATGCTGATGTCGTTATTCACGAGGAAGGGTGGACAGAGGCTCTGAGAGGTGGCCTGATATGCCCAGCGCCTCCTAAGTTATCCAGGCCACCAGCCCAGTCCTGGTGGTCCCGTGTCCTCGGCCTCACCAGTGGCCTTTTGCCTCCCTCCCCCCCCCCAAGTTCAGTCTTCACCCAGCTGAGAAAGGGGCCAAGCTCCCCAGAGGGCAGGCTCTGTCCTAAGGGAGAGCGAAAGGCAGTGGAAGTGTCAGAAGTGCAGCGACGGCACCTTCTCACCTAGTGAGGCAGCCCCGCAGCTGCCTGGCCTCTGTCCTCCCCCACGTTCCCTCTGTGTCCCGTCTTCCCTGGGCGGCCAGGGCCTCCTTGGCCTGGCACTGATGTTTCCTCTGCTTGGAATGCCCCTGCCTCCCTTCCTCGCCTGGCAAATGCCTGCCCAATTGTCAAGTCCCCCCTCAGATGGCAGCGTATGGTGTGAAAGCCTTCGGCAAAGGTCCCTGGCCGCCACCTCGCTGCCTCAGGCCTGACCACAGAGCCAGGCACAGCGAAGGGGTCAGCATGCGTTTGCTGAATGAGTAAATGAATGGCCTTCTTTGATTCAACAAACACCTTCCCTGTGCCAGACCTTGTGCCCGGGGCTGAAATAAATGACCCCATTACTAGTCGTATCGGTCCCTGTTTTTAGCTCACAGCCCATCCCCCCCACCAGCTTAGACCACTCACTGTCCTTCATTCACTGAGGAGCCATCCTCGGGGGCCTCTGGGGCGAGGCACCAGGTGCGATTCTGGAACCTGGAACCTGCTGGGAGCTGTCCAGTCCCTGCCCAGTCCCTGCCTGGTCTCTGCACCACCTGGAGCCCGAGCTGAATGGCCTGCACAGAGGCTTTTAACAGCTCAGGTTCCTTAGCCTCTTGCTAAGGGCTGTGTTGAGGGTCCAGGCTGTGTATGCAGAGGAAGAAGCAAACCCTTTGCAGGTTGCAGATGACAGGTCAGCATCTCTGTCCTTTTCCCAGAACCGCCGAGACCTCTGGCTCACCTCTGCAGGCTGCAGGTTCGAAAGGCCATTGGCAAATACCGTCTAAAACTCCTGGACACGTTGCCGCTCCCAGGCAGGCTGATTCGGTACCTGAAGTACGAGAACACCCAGTAACCAGGGCGTGTGGAGAAGGAGTGCTCCTCAGACTGTTTCACTGAATCTCAGGACGGCGGGGTCCCCGAATCCAGGGGACCTGGTGATGGGCGGGGCTGGGGCTGCTCCCCCTGAGCTGGGGCAGCCACCGTGACCTCACCGGGTCTCTGGGCCAGAGCTGTGCCCAGAGCAGAGAACGGAATATGTCGAGGAGGAGGAAAATCTTGTTTCTTTGCAAATCGACGAGTAGATCCCAGACCTTCTCTGCCATCAGGAAGGGCAGGAACTTCCGTTCTGGGACGGGCGGCTGGCGGGGGAGAACGTGGGGCGGGGGCGCTGGAGCGCTCAGGGCTGCGTGTGCCTTTCTGGACAACTTCACTGTGGAGCTGGCCCTGCCCCTGCCCCTCTGCTCTGTGAACCCCTCCACAGGTATGGCCTGTTGGGGGGCTGGGGAGACCCTCGGGCCCAGAGGGCTTCCTGGTACAATAAATGTTGCACAGATGCCTCCTTGCCCAGAGTGGTCCCTCTCACCAGACGCACCAGGGCCTGGGGCCCTCAGCCCTGCTTGTGGTGGGAGTGTGGGCGGGGTGGGGGCTGGGGCCAGGGCACACGGGTCTCCTTGGTTTGGCTGCCCCAGTCCCCATGTGGCTCTGTGGGGTGAGGCAGGCAGGAGCTGCCGGCCACCTTCGATGGTGCAGGTGAGAAAGCTGAGTCCCCTGCGCTGAGACCAGCGCGCCCTGTTTCACGCACACTGCGGGGGCTCCCGGAGTTCTCTTCCCCCGTGTGACAAAAGCATGGAGGGGACCCAGGGCAGGAGAGCCTGTGCCGGCTGCCCCGGGATCTGGAAGAGCCTTAGGCCAGGTCACACCTGGTTTCAGGCCTGGGAAAGCAAATGGCTGGGCAGGTGTGGGGTGCCATGGTTGTACGCCCTTCTCTGCCTCTAGCTCGCTCCTCTGGGGCCTCGGGTTTCTCATCACTGTGGCCCTGGTGGCCTTGCCAGCTCCTACATACGGGCTTTTCAGAGAACCAGTCAGTCCCAGGGTCTGCCTGGAGAGGGAAAGCCTTCCGAGCAACACGTTAGAGCCACGGCCAGAGGGGAGTCAGCAGAACTGTGCCCACTCCCTCGTGGCGCAGCGGGGCCCGGCACACACAGCGAGTCCCTGGGGTTCCAGCCCCGAGTGCTTGGCCACGGTCCCACGCTGCCTTGGTCCAGTGGTCCTGAAAAATCCACGGAAACCCGGTCCTCCCAGACTGAGGATGCTCCACCCTGGTGGGCGGGGGGGGGGGCAGTCAGTGATGGGCTGGAGCAGAGAGATTTCAGGTGCAGTTGGTGTGGGGCTGGCTGTCAGGCAAACGCTTCATCTCTGGCCACATTAGGTCTCAGAGGGTCCGAGCAGGCAGGGCGGTCTAGTGAGACCCCCCTGGAGAAGGGGAGGTTGAGAGGGAGGTGGGAGGCGCAGGGAAGGAGGGCTCAGCCACTGCCCATTGGCACTGCTTACTTATAGGATGTGGGACCCTGGGCTTGGGATGTCCTGGTGCCACATTTGCGTTCTTGGATTTTCTTTCTTTTTAAAAAATATATTTTTATTCGTTTCAGAGGAGAGAGGGAAAGAGAGAGAGAAACATCAGTGATGAGAGAAATCACTGATGGGCTGCCTCCTACACCCCCCACACAGGGGATTGAACCCAAAAGCCGGGCATGTGCCCCGAAGGGGAATTGAACTGTGACCATTGAACTGTGACCTCCTGGTTCATAGGTTGAAGCTCAACCTCTGAGCCACACCGGCCAGGCTACTTTCTTTATTTAAAAAAATCTTATTGGAGAGAGAGAGAGAGGAGAGAGAGGAGAGAGAGAGAGAGAGAGAGAGAGAGAGAGAGAGAGAGAGAGAGAGCGCTCCCAGAGCTCCATTGTTTCTCAGGGCTGGGGGAGGTTGGATGGCCCAGTCCACAGCATCACTGAAATACCAGCATGGCAGGACCTACAGACACTGCCCGATAACCAGGAGAGGTGGCCTTCGGTTGTGCAGCTTTTCACCACTTGGGGAGCAGTACTCGCATCATCCCCACATCAACCCGCGAAGCAGGCCTATTTTCAATCACATTTTTCCAATGAGGAAATTTTGGCACAGAGAGGTTGAGTAACGTTTCTAAGGTCACACAGCTAGTAGGTGGCAGAGCCCCGATTAGTGCTTTTTACATTCTGCTTTACTGTGTGCAGGGGCTGAGCCTCATCAGAATGGATCCACACGCTTGTTACTGGCCCCCTCCCTGCTTAAGACCAGAGCAGCTGAGGGGAGGGTCCTGGCTGAGGACTCGCTGTCCACGCTGCCTGTGCCGCACAGCCTCTGTGGCTCTGAAGTCCTCCAAGACCAGCGGACACAAACCACTCCCCAGTGTGGGCTGCCCGTCCATGTGGATGGGCCTTAGGGGGGCCCTGGGGTACAAATGGGCAGGTGGGAGAGTCCCTTAGCCATCGCTAATCCGGGAGCCTCGCGTTAGGAAGGATTCTGAGTCCCAATAAAGTGGAAGGCACCACAGAGGGACCATTGCCCTCCCACCCCCCTTCTGCAGGTGGCGCCAGAAGGCCTGAGGGGAGGTCCAGCCCCACGTCCCACGCAGGACACAGCTCCGCCCCCTGGCACCATCCTCCCCGGTGGCTCGTCCCCCCTCCCTCCTTCGAATTGAGCAGTTGGCCTCCAGTGCCCCCTCCCACTGCTGGCCTCCCCCCGCTGTCACCTCCATGAGCAGCCCTCCTCCTGGGTGCAGCCAGCACTTCTTAGGCCTGGGGACCATTCAACTTCATGAGACCCAAGGTGTGGAAACTGCAAAAGAAACGCCTTTATTCTTTAAACCTTCTTAATATTTACAAAGAACAAAAATAACAGAACTGAGATTGGCTTACAGAGTGGGCGGCAGAATAACAGATGTGTAACTCGGGCTTCGGGGGTGGCTGGCCGACCAGGGCGAAGCCCCGAGGTCTGCACAGGGACGGGGGATGATCCGTCGGGCTCTGGCCTGGAGGGGGACCCGCTGAGCCCGGCCCCGCAGCTCCCAAGGCGACGGCCTGAGAAGGCCGGACCCGATCCCGCCCTCCCCACCCCGCACACATATAAAGGGAAGGTTCTCAAGAGGCCACACCACACCGCTGCCCGGCCCCCTGCTCACAGGGGAGCTCCTGGGGCCCCACACGCCCGCAGGCCGGAGGCGGGAGCGAGGCCCGCAGCCCCGCTAGAGGTAGCCAAAGACGTTGAAGATGGGCGGGGGCATGGCCGGCTTCGTGGGGATGGGCTTCAGGACCACGGGCCTGTGTACCTTCTGCCCCGGGCCATCCACATCCTTGGCCAGATGGGCCAGCTCCCCGGGGGAGGCCGGGCTTTTCCTCCACAGGCCCAGGCTGGGGACGGGGCCCGGCGGCAAGGCCCCTGGAGGGCCCGGGTAGATGGGCTGTCCATGGTACTGGAAGGGGCAGCAGCTCCAGGCATTGACACGGCCCACCAGGGAGACCCCAGGCAACTTGGGTGGCTCCTTTTCAGCCAGCGCCCTGGGGGACATGGGGATCAGGGCCATGTCGGGCCCGAAGAGCTCCAAGCCCCTGCAGTGTTTCTTACACTCGTAGGGAGGTCCCTCTCTGGGGCCCAGGACCCCCTCCAGCGCCACGGGGTAGCTGTGGGTGGGCCGCGGCTCTTCCCAGAAGGAAGCGGGCAGCTGTCTTTTCCTCATGGGCACCTGGCCAGGCCTGGCAGCTCCTGGGTTCTGCCCCTGTAGGGTCTGCTCCCTAGAGAGACACTCCTCCCTGTAGGGGTTCCCCAGGGCCTTCTCCTTGCAGTCCCCACCACCGCTAGGGCTGGCGTCAGGGCCGGGATTGAGGGGCAGCCTCCCCGGGCGGTCCTCAGGCCCCCTTCTCAGGGGAGGCTCGGCCCCTCGGCCCGGGAGGCCCCGCGGCAGCCGCGAGTACTTCTGGGAGAAGCGTTTGAGCTGCTTCTGCAGGTACTTGCGGTGGTCCACAGAGCGGCGGCAGGGCGCCGACTTGTCCAGAGCCGCCTTGATGTCACTGGAAGCCAGATTCACAAAGTTCAGCAGCATCTTCACGTCACTGTCGGATGCCATCACCAGGGGGGCCACTGCACCGGGCTTTCCATGAAGAGGGCGGTCTGCTCGTGGCGGGCCGCTCCAGGGAAGGGCACCGGGCTGACCTGGGGGACACACCGGCCGTTGGAGTCTCTCCAAGCCACCAACTCAGCCCCCGCCCCCAAAGGCCACGTGGCTGCAAACAGTGGCCCCGGCCCCGGCCCCCCTCCGCCCCTGACAGTCCCGGGCAGTGGGACACCCATTTCAGCGTGTCCTGAGCATCGGGGATGGGCCAGGCTCAGACACCTTCGTCTGCTGGGGTCGGCTGCCCTCTCCCTGCAGCTGAGGCTCAGAGAGGTCAGGTGACTTGCCCAAGGTGACCCAGCCACACGTGGCATTGCTGGGGCTGGAGTACAGGTCCCCTCGCTCCCAGCCCACTGTCTCCCACGCACCACGCTGCCAACGTGCACACTGGCCAGCCAGGTTTTTCTTTTCTGAGCAGAGGTGACTGCTCCACTCCCAAGCCAAGCCCCTGTCTCCCTGGTGGCGCCCTCCCCCTCCCGCCCCCGCCCCAGCCCTGGGAGCGGCAGCCCCCCTCCTCGGCCCCCACGCTCCACCCCCAGCTCTCCTGCAGGACGGGGAGGACCCCTGTCTGGCACTCCAGCGCAGGCCTGCCTGGCGGGCTGAGCTCAGGCTGTGGCAGCGGGAACACCCCTGCAGAAGCATCTGCAGCAATTTCATGCCTCCTGGGCCACCTCCCACAGCCCCTCGCCCCTCCCCCGGGCCCCAGCCGGCCCCACGCCCCCACCCCGTTGGGCCCAGCCGCCTGGGCCTCCACACTGACCGAGGGTGCGGGCCCGGCCGGCCAACGTGGCCCGGCTGGTTCCCGCCGCAGACCTGGGTCAGGCCCGCGCGGCCTGCGAGCTCCGGTTGTCCGGCTGGAAGCAGTTGTGCCGCCCTCGAGTGGGCTGAATGGAGGACAAGTCCCCAGAGCTGGGGGGCCCCTCAGGCCAATCAGGAGCGCCTCTCCAGATACAAAGCATCCCAATCAGGCGGCAGCGCCCCGTTCCCACATTCTTTGCCGTCACAAATTGTCACCATGGGGACCATCACAAAAAAGACAGCTCCCAAATGCAATCATTTCCCGGTAAATTTCTACCCTCAGCCCCTCTCCCCCCCTCGGCCTCCACGCCCTCCTCCCCTTGACCTCGGTTCCCTGGTTTCTCGAGGGGGTGAGGGGTGTGTTTAAAAAGTCCGGGACTGAGGCGGGGCTGGGCCCAGAGACGGCCTGGCCCTCCTCCCCACAGGCTCCGGGCCCGGCCCGCGGCTGCCATGCTCCAGTGCAGACAATCGGACGGACGGGTGAGCCGGGCAGGCGGCCTTCCCCGCCGTCCTTGAGTGCTGAGTGGCTCTCTCCTCTCCTCTCTCTTTCCCCACCCCGCTCCCCGAGGCAGGCCTGTGAGGGCCGGCCGCACACTGGTGTGGGCAAAGGTAGCGGGGAAGGACTCTCTAACGAGGGGCTGGGATATCCATGGGAAGGCAGCCGCAGCTCTCAGGAATCTTGTCTTTATGTTTGCTTCCTCAATTGAGCGGCACAAAGCCTGAATTGCCCATTCAGTGCGGCCGGACAAAAGGTTGGGCGTTGCACGGTCCCCTTGCATTTGTAGTCAAACAGTTAGGGACTTAAATCGAGTCGTCATGATGGAGAAAGAGGTGGACAAAGCCCATAGAATTGCCATCAGCAAACATTTTCCTGTGTCATATTAGCCAGTCTCCATGGCTCCCCCTGGCCCGGGGACAATGGCACAAGTTTGCACACTTGGCTACTGTCACCGTGCCAACGCCGGCGGGGCCACAAGCAGGGCCGCGCTGAGCGAGCAAGGGAGCCCAGGGGCGGCCGTGGGCCCTGCCCACCAACTGGCCAGAGGGAAGGTGAGGCCAGCGGCAGAGGAGGCTGCCTGGGAAATGTGGATGGGCGAGGCCTCCGTGCCAGCCAGCCTGGTGGACCCCCTATACCTCCTGCCTGTCCCCCCCTCCTCTCCTCCCTCTTCCTTCCCTTCTCTTTTTTCTACCACCTCCTCCTTCTGTGCCCTGGCTGGCCAAATGGTTGGTGCTCTATACACCAACCCACACCTTTGCACCACCACCTGAAATGCCAGGGACTCCCGTCTGAAGCGCCCCTCCCAGACTGGGAGCACTGACAGGGAGGGGCCAGGCTTTACCCGGGAGTGATGGTTCCACCCCCTCCTGCTGGCCAATAGACAGCTGCTACCGCAGGGGACGCCTGCCCGCAGTGACAGGGCTCCAAGCCACCTCCCCCTCTGGCCTGAGGGTCCCTGCAGGCAAAATGAAGGGCTCAGGCAGAGAGAGCCCATCCTGGGGAGTGGTGGTCGTATTCTCCACGCCCCGTTTCCCTGCTGTGGGGGTGGGGGAAGCGTGGACTGAGATGGAGGTGACCTTGAACTGGAGCATCCTGGGTCATTGGCCACCACAAGGCCTGGAGAGCGTGGCCCCTGTTCACAGGAGCCTGTACATGGATGAGCGCCAAACCGTTGTGGCCTTAAGCCCCTGAGTGCTGGGGGTCACTTGTTTCTGCAGCAGAACCCAGCCCACCCTGACCAGTGCAGGCAGGAAGCATCCTTTCCGCCCCAAACCACTGCGCACACGCTGCTGGGGACAGTGCCGAGGTCATGGGGTTAGGCTGGCACATCTCCCATCACGGCTCCGGCTGCCTCCTGACACACCCAGCCCCCCTGTGTGAGCTCCAGGAGGGCTCTGCCTCTCCAGCGACTAGAATGGCTTTGGCCCAGAGCAGCCCTTGCGGTTGCTGAGTTGGTACTTGATGGCCCGTCGTCTGTGTTTCTCTGGGACTGTGGGTGCCTGGAAAGCAGGAGGCCCTGCTTCCCAACTGCATCCCCTGCACCAGAGCAGGGCTTCTAGAAAGCTCCACAAGAGCACGTAAGCTGTGCGGACTTGAACTTGAGGACCCCTTCCCAACTCGGCTGTGACCGCCTGCAGATCCTCCACTTTCCAGCTGTGCTCACCCCACCCCAAGTGTATCCACCCCGCTCAGCGTCAGGGACGCCCCGCTTCCGGGCAACTCCGCTCCGAACCTGCTGTGTGTCAGGGACCGAGGGTGCGGGCTGGGCCCGCGCGGCTTGCTCCTCTGTCCGAGGCCACTTGCTGGCGGGGAGATGGGCTTGGTCTTGGTGACTCAGCAGCCACCTCCTGCCCACCGGCCAGTGAGACAGAACCCTGGGTGGTGGCCTGGCACCAGCCATGCCTTGTTTCGATGGCAGGAGATGGAGAAAACCGTGATGTACGGAGGTAGGCAGCTGACACGGTCATTTTTAAAAGCCTGTCGTGCAACCTCAGGATAGTCATCAAATGCCTACCCAGCACTCACCGCTTGGTCGACGTCCGTAACACGCATTAAGGCATTTTTTTCTTCCCAGGTGCCAGGATACCGTCTTGAATGGATAAGGAAACTGAGGCACAGAGCCAGGAGCCTTGCCCCAGGTCCCTGCTCAGTAAAGGGGGATGCTGGCAGCCAGAGCCGGGCCCTCGGTCACAACCATCGCCTGCTGCTCTCTCCACCGACACTATCTCTTGTCCCCCCCCCCCCCCCCCCCCCCCCCCGCCGCACACACACACAGACCCTCGCTCCCTCCCAGGGCTTCGCTGGCCCAGAGGTGCAGAAGCGCCCGGCCCGCCCTCCTGCAGGGGTAGGTCTGACCAGTAGACTCGGGGACACAGCAGCCTGACCAGCGCCTCCATGAGCGCAGGACGCAGCCGTCCGGGCGGCTTATGTAACTCACCCTTATGTAAGGGGAGTGTCTCCACCAAAGCCCAGCCCGAGGCCCCCTGTCCTGTCCGCTGCAGTCAGAGCAAACAGGCTTCCTTGGGCCGGAGGCTAAGGGCTGAAATAAACCCCTTGGCTGCCAGGCCAGGCTTCCTGCCCCTCGGACCTCGTCTCAGGACGGCGGCTTAACACCAGCGCAGCCGGGGACCTCGGGGGCCTCGTGATGACCCAGAGGAGTCACAGCCCATCGGCAGGGACGGCGACCTCCTAGTCGATGCCTCCCCGTCTCTTCCCCTCTGGGTCCCAAAGCTGCCCCGGTGAAGCCCCTCTTGGGCACCTCTCCCTGGAAGGAATAGCCTCTGTGTCCCCGTTGGGTGTCCGCACGGCCCCACATTCCCACCACGGCCCCGTTTCATGCCTGCTGCCCGCCACACGTCCATCACCTTCACGCGTCCTCAGGTGCCTGCCTCTCTGAGGCGTCTCTCCACCGACCCAGGCACCAGCCAGGGATGAAAAGTCGGTTTAATCTCAACTGCCAACTCGGGTTTGATTGGTGATGGCTGGCGGGTGCCCCGTGGAAAGATTCCGAGGGCCGGGCAGGACTCGGGATCGGCTAGTGCTGTCTTCCGTGGGTGTGGGTGGGGCAGGCTGACTGTACTTGCCTGATACCCCCGAGTCCCGTTCAGAATGACAGGATGCGGAGCCAGGAGGGTGATGCGTGGCCTCCTTGTAACCGGGCCCCGAGATCTTAACCAAGGGAACAGTGTCCCAGAGGAGGGCAGTGACTCCCCCAGGCACGCAGTGCTCCCACTTCCCAGGCAGAGCTCATCGGTTCAGTTCAATAAACAGACCGGGGGTGGTAGGCACTTTGGAGAATGGAGGCTGTGGTGAGTTCGGTGCAATGGAGAGGAGAGGCCACTGCAGGGAGTGGGGCGAGAAAGTTAGGAAGAAAGGCTGTCCTCCATGGGTCTGTGCAAGCAGCAGGCACACGGCAAAGGCCCGTTGAATGAATGAATGAATGAATGAATGAAACGTGGAGTAACACGATTGGTTGGCTCTCAGCCATCTTGGGAACTCCAATAGCCAGTGTCACCACACCCTGGAAACAGCTCATTCTGACCCAGGCACAGCCTCTCGGCTCTACTTGCAAACTACGTACTGACCACGTCACACCCTCTCCTCTGCTCCCCCTGGGACCAGTCCCCCACCACCTCTTACCTCGCCTGGATTGCTTGTCTCCTGACTGGGCTCCTGAGTCTGCCCACAGCAGCCTGTGCTCTTTTCTAAAAAGAGAAGCTGGCTCAGAGCTGCCCCTGA